GTACTTGGATCCCTAGGGGATGATATTAGATGATTAGATGGAATATTCGATGTGATTTGGTTGGAACCCCATCGCTCCTTTCGCAACGGACACCGCCGAGCCACGCGACGCGAACGGCGGTCACCGGTGCCGGTCGGTTCGGCCTGGTTCTTGGAAAAGACCTGAGCGCACCGGTTCCGAACGATCAGAGAACGTGGTAGGTTCGACGTGGAGACGCGCGACGAAGCGGTTTCGGACTCCCCAGGGGGGGGTGGAACCCAGAAACTGGACCTGTGTGACTAGCAGCGGGTGGCCGAGTTGGTGGAACCGAAGGTGGCCGAGCATCCGAAGGGTTGCTGAAACCCAACCTGTGAGCTGCGAGCAGCTCGGGAACGAGCTGCTGAGATTCCGAGGTGGGTCAAACATACTGAAACGGTCAAGCCATCCACCAAACCTGTGTACATCTGAAACAAATCCTGACCCCCCCAAAACACAATGTTCATTGACCAAGTCTCACTGAGTTTCCATCCAAAAACCACCCATCGATTTGTCTGGGGGTCTTGGATGTTCTTAGACGTTCCTGCCAACACAATGTTCGGATGTGTTCAGGCCGATCCCGGACGCCGTTGAAAAACATCCGACTGAGATTGGAAGAGACGGCCCCAAGCGGCGTGGTGTTTGACTGTTAGATGATATTGATGCTATTGCTACACCCTATCTCCATATGAAATTCAAAAAGTTACTTTGCAGTCATGGCCTTACACTTCTTTTTGGTGGTAGCCCCGCACCAGCCGTCCGTAAAGAATCAACAACCAGCCAAGTGCTGAGTGTAGCACAGCCACATCCAAGGGAGTTCTCGTCAGTCCACGTGCAGTGCCAGTTGTCAGGCTCTGGAGAACCTTTTCAGAGATGAATCGCAAGCCGCAAGAGCAGGGAATCACCGGCTGTTCAAAGGAATAGTGCCAAAGCATGCCTCTAAGCTCACCCCATCAAGGAATGTTTTCTGGTACAAAATCTAGGGTTACATCCTAGCTGGCTCCTATAACATTGCCGCACGGACCGATGGACCAACAAAAACAGTTTCCAAAGAGATAACATCTGCTGGACACCATCTGATCAATTGCCTAAAGGTCTATGCCGTGTCCCAACTTCTTAGATCGACTGCATCTCACATCCGCCCCTGTCAGCATCCCTTGAGGCATCCGAAAAAAGCTGCCGTCTCCGGTCCGCCGCGCGGGACACGCGTGAAAACGCGCGCGTCCGGCGTGCTGTGCCTCAAACATGCACCACAAGCGTCCGAAGGGGGAGACTGCCTCGGTGGCCTCAACGTCCTGGAGGCCAAGGGCACAACATTTGGAAGTCCCGGATCTGTATCTCACTTCTGCAGGAAAGTCATTGGGAAGTCCACGTGCATGCGTTCGTAGGTCGAAGAGTCTGACAGCCAATGGGAGGGTGAGGGGGGGTTGAGCATGCTGAATGCGACCTGCAATCGTTCAGTGGCTTGACTCGTCAAGCGCAGCAGAGACTGACCAGAGTCGAGAGCCCGTGCAACTTTGCGAGGCAAGCAGCCGATGCCGCAAAAATAAGAAGCACGGAGAGCCGAATGTCACGCTGTGACTTCTGGATCTTGGTACTGAATTTTTGTTGTAATTAGGCAAACGAAACGAACGGTTGCAAAGACTGGAACGCCAGCAAAAACAAGAATCAAGTCCAAAATTCTATGATTGGCGGATGCATGAACGAAAGGCAATCTCTTTCCCTTTCTGACCTCTCATCATCCCTTTTCTTCATCCCTTTTTCCACTTTGGGGTCCCAACCACCTCGTCTCGTCTCATCTCGCCTTTCTTTCTCCCGAGCCGAGACCGAACCCCGAGCCCCGACCGAACCGAGTCGCCAGCGGCCTGCAGGACCAGCAAGAGCCGACTCTCAGCCAAGTTCAAAGCTTGGCAAAAACCCGACCTCGTCGGTCCCACAAGGGAGCGGTGAAGATCGGCCAGTTTCGGCCAATCTTTGCAGATCTAAAACACTGAAGAGTTGTGAAGATGAAGGTGTTTCCATGTGTTTCTTTTTGGTGTCCTTTCTCTTCGTTTATTGAGGCTTTTGCATACTGGAGGGAAAGCAATCTTCATACAGTATAAAACATCCCTTGAACCGACCCTGCTGAAAGAACTTGTAATCAAAAAAAGAAAGCGAAATTCCAACTATCAAATACTATCAAAACAACTCATCTGAGCCCATCTGAGCCGCTTTACAACTCCAAAAACCCCTCTAAGCCCCTACCATCACATCGTCTCGAGTGTACCAGAATCCGAGCTCGGGCCCGGCCAGGGGTCGGACCCTTTCCACCGAAACGCAGCCCGCCACGGCTTGCCTATTTGATGGTGAGGGCCTGGATTCTTAGGGGACCAATGTTTACACCCTGGAAGACGATCGGAACCTGAACACCCCTGGTTGCTAGAGGAACATCCTCTTCGAATTGGGACCAGACCATCGTCAGGGTCTATGTTCTGTTGACTCGGGACGTGTAATAGTTTGGTATTGATTTTTTTGTGCACACCCCTGCCATGGCCCGTCTTCTCGATTCCTTCCTCCTCCGTTCGGACCCATCCACTGGGACGATCCCCACTCGGGCGCTTCGGCTCGCTCCGTGACCGAGCTATGGTGCCTGGAGCGAAAACGAGAAGTGCCCGGTACTTCAAAGTCCAAGGACCAAACATCTACAGAACCTGCAACCTGAAACGACCACCTTTTTTTTGGTTGTTTCTTCAAACGACCGTATATGTTTAAAACGACCTTAAAAAATGGTCTTTTCTTAAACGACCGTATTTTTGTCAATTATGATGATGTTCAAATATTACATCATGCACAATGCATATCAAGCAGTTGATTTGTGAAATCGTATACGATCGTATATTTCTGGAAACGACCGTATATTTTTCGAACCACGACCGTATTTTGTTGAAACGACCGTATATTCTTCGAACCACGACCGTATACAGGCCGTATGCAAACCGTATAAAAACGTATACGACCAATTTGTTCATAAAGTTTTGCGCTTGATCATGGATTGATTTCATTTGAATTGGGAGGGCATTCTGAGCTGGAGGCAGTACTCCCTGGAAGGAACATAATCCTTTGGATGGTCATTTTCCTTGACTTCCATGGTATCTAATTCCAGAGAGCCCTGCCCCATCCTGCCCCGTTCCAATGGGTGGTCAAACCTTTTCCACCGGGCAGTGTGGGGGGGGGGGCAGCAGCAGCTGCCAGCAGCAGCGGAGCGGCCATTGCAGCGGCCCTTCTCGCCTGGGCTCCCAGTGCCAGTGGGTGCATGGGCACTGGAACCACATGCTGGATCCACATGCTGTGTACCAGGATTTGGACTCCTCCCCACATGTTGAAGTCACCAACAGGAGAATGTGTAAAACAAATCTATGCAAATAGTGTAGAACTTGTAGGGGGAAGGCCCCATGTCATCACCTCCACATATGCTGCTTTCAGATGGGCACGCGACATCGCATGCAAGATGTGTGGCCCAAAGAGCTTGCAACAGGGAATGCTGTTGTCATCCTACCTCAAAGATCTCCACCCACCATGCCAACCCAATGTAAAAACTTAGTGTTTTGATCCATTACATCTGTTGCCAAGGGCCTTTCTTGTTTAGGGCGGTTCACCTGCTTGCCATGGAGTTGCCCTCAGATGATGAGCAGGGGCCGGAGATCCATGCAGGCCCAAATCTCCTAGAGATGACCCACAAGGCCATCCCGGATCCTCCTCTCAAGACCCCAGCTCGAAAGCGCCTTGAGTTTTTGGAGGATGCGTTTCTTGGCCTTTGTATTAGCACAGTCCCAACTCCATATCAGAGTGACATATTGTAAACTGTACACAAGTGTTGTTCTGTAATGTTCATTAGGTTGTTAGTTTACTTTGTGTTTGTTTAATCTATGTCGACATCATATTAAAATGAACCCTCACGACATAGAACATGTATTTGTTTCAAGGGGACTAGCTGACTAGCCTCTCAATCTTTAGATCTTCTTGCTGAGAAACCATGGAAGTGCTGCTCAAAATTGTGTGTTCACCACTACCGGGCCAATTCTGGCAGAGTCAAGATGATTGAGGACATGGTTGGTGAACACACACACAAACACACTTGCTGCCTATACCCTTCCTACAGAGATTGGAAATAAGAATAGAAGATCATATCAAAGTCATGTGACATCACCACCATAGCCAAAGCACTTCTGCTCTGCCATGCAATGCCCACAGGACATCCGGGCGCAAATGAAGGACCTGAACCAGGAGGAGACCAACCGCTTTGTGCTTGGAATGCTGCAAAAGCTTATGTCTGACTCTGATGATGCAGCTAGAACTTGAAGCCTACTTTATTGTTTTTGTTTTGGTGCCTAAGTGGTGTAGGGGAGAACTTCCAGCTTACTTTTGACCAGTCCAGTCTAGCTATCAGGCTACAAACCTGAATCTGAAGTATGCCTTGTGTGGATTCCCACTGTGCCGCTCAGCATTTTGTGGCCTTCTTGGTGTCAACGAGAAGAGGGTGGCTGGGTAAAGAAAAGGAATGCTGTGCTTGCCCTGAACAGTATGGATGGCAGGGTCGTGATCAGGGAATATAGGAGTATTGGGTTTTATGTAGATTGTTCAATACCTATGGTGTTGGTTCCACCACTTCTCCAAAACCAATGCCATCATAAGGTCTTGCGCTTGCTTCCTGGCATCTCTTCAAACTCAGTGCCAGTGGATCAAAGGAAGTTCAATGGGCGTACGCCAACGGCCAAGAGTGCAAGTGCAGATGCCTACTTCACATACTTTTACTGGCACTTTGATCCTTGCCCTTAGATTGGTAACTATTTTGTTCAGCACCAACCAAAATCAGACTGAACCAAAGTGATCAATCAGGGTGGCAACCTGTGTGTTTCTCATTTTTTGTAGTGACTCTGCTGCAAGACCCTTGCTAGGCAGAACCCTTGGCTGAAACGCCACCGCTTGAAGAACTTCAAGGAGCTGCAATGTGCACATCTGGCATTTTCTTGCCAAGCCCCTTGAACCACTAGACAAGCAAGTTTTATGTGATTCTGTTCAATGAAACTGCAGCTGAAAAAGAGCTTCAAGATTGACTTGTGGGGAACATATCAAATACTGTTACGCCCAATCTCATGCCTACTTGATACCTGGTTGCCCTTGCACCCTGGTCCCTCCCAGGTGAGACATCCTCAGAGTTGCCGCCTTCATTCTTCCAAGGGCAGGTAGTCCACTCAGAGGCAGCCTTGGCATCTTTGAATGGAAGCGCTCCACTTGCTGCTACTATGCGTGAGGGTTCTTGGGCTTGCTGTTGGAAAAGCTGTCTCCCTCTTTGCCCTCTCCCAACACTAATAGTGTTCACCCAAAACTTGGACCAAACTTTGTGGGTGCTCTCCTTTGTCCAAGGCTTGCAGCCGCGGTACATGACTCATATGACTATTGAATCTTTCCACGAGATGTACATGCTGTGGTGCCAGGGGGCTGCTGTGCCAGAAGATGAGATTGCAAGTTCCCGTTGCTTCCGTGAAGTATATGAATCGACATGGAAGGGCAAACTGCGGATGCGCACAGTGTCACAGCATGCACGGTGCAGGGTCCTCTCAAAAGCTTGACTTTTAACAAATAAGAAACATTAAGAAAGGTCTTTGATCTTTGGCTTTCACTCTCTTGTTGGCTGCCCTGATAGGTGCTCCATCTGTGCAGAGTTCAGTGCCAGGTGCAGGCGAGCAACAGCAGAGTTGGAGCGGTCCAAGCTGGAAGACAACCAGCGCCAGCATTTAACCAACGTCCAGCAATATCGCCTCATTCAGAATCGATTGAATATTTTGAGCGAAACAGAGGGTTCCAACATCTTGAAGATTGACATCGACGGCCTAGACCAGAACAAAACACGGTTTCCCAGGAACCTTGACAGTAGCAAAACTCTAGCTGCTGCATGGCGCCCACAGCTGCACTGTGTGGGTGTTATCGTGTGGGGCGTCACTGGGAAATACTTCAACAAGTCTTTGTATATCTATGGTTTCCTGGTTTCCTAATAGTTTACTGTGGTAAATCATTGAGAGCTCTTACACCATCCTCTTTGGCAGAAACCTTCTGTCCCAGGTGCTGGAAGGATATCTGCTCCTTGAGCCTGATATTGCCAACAACTCCTCAGCGGAGGTGACAGTGCTGCTCAAAGCAATTGATTGGGCTGAGGAGGAGTTGGCCCGTCAAGGGAAATCGCTTCCTGAGCATTTGATCCTGGAGGTGCCTACTAAGGATGAACAACGGGGGGGCAGTAGCTGTTTTGTGTTAAGACACACTGCATTGGAAGTTATGTTGATAGCAACAATGAAGATTCAACCATGTGTTCCAAACAAAACCCTGACCCCTGCAGACGGACAATTGCCCCCGTGAGGGGAAAAACCAAATTATGATGAAGATGAATGCTGTTGGAATTGTGAACAATCGGTTCCTTGGCTTCCCAATGGTCTCCAACCTTTGAACACCTAAGCCCTTAATATTTATTGGTGGTGCTGCCTTATCAGGGTTTTGTACTTTCTATTTGGTTTGTTTTTGAACCAAAATTGTGTTGCTACTGTTTCACTGGCCTGGTAATTCAGGTGGCGAAGCTGTACACACATTTTTTGGGCAGGTAGGCCACACACACGGGCCTATTGACCAGCGACTTGGGACTATTTCTGCTGCCTTTGCTGCCCAGAGGGTGATTGAGACTCCCCAGGAGTGCCATGACAAAAGCCTAATGTTCAATTGGGAGTTAGAACTTAGGTGGTGCCATGACAAAAGCCTAATGTTCAATTGGGAGTTAGAACTT